CGATTCCCATCGCATTGCCTAATCGATAATACATCATTTTGACACACATAAGGTATTTATTATAAATTTATTTGTTCTAAACTCATTATACATATACAATACAATGAATGTCGGCATTTTACTCTTTTTCTATTGTTATTATTATTTCTTATGTGCTTGTCTTATAATATCAAAGATAATTTTTGCTTCTTTCTTTTAATTTTAACTTATTACTTGCGACTTGTTTTGTACTTTTCTTTTTATTGTTTGCGACTCGATTTGTACTTTTCTTATTATTTTTATTTACTTCCGTCGTTAATTTATTATTATAATTTATACATGCTCAGTAATAGAAACATGTTCGTCCTTATACACACGATTCGGAGGAGCACATTTGTGTCAACTATAATCGTTTGTTTGATTTCCTCTCAATTTGAAGCGAGTTTTATAGTTAATATTGCGTCTGAATGCGAATTTTATTTAATTTCTTATGTTTTATCTGTGTTACATTTCTATTATTAATTTATTTGTCACATTGAAAATGATCCAACAAGGATCGAAACGTTTGTTTTGTTCACCTTCTGATTGTCAAATTATAATTTACGTTTTTAATTTCATGACATGTTTTATTTTATTTTTTAACTATTGTATTTATACAGTTTGTCATTTTATGTTAATTGTTTTTAGGCTCGTAGCCCTTTTTACTTATTATATAGGGAGCTTTTCAACAAGATACTTTTTTTAATTCAGAGATATGTTCGTGTAGTCTCGTGCTCAATTTTCTTTTTGTCTCACCAACATAACTCGCCTCACAATCATCACATGAGATCTTGTAGACATTCTGATTGGATAGGAACCCTCCCTATATAATCTTTTTCATTATTTTTATTTAGATTATTTTATTATTATATATTATATTTATTGTATTTATAAATATTAAAATACAGTGACAATGTTATCTTTAATATTGATAGACAGCAAGGATATATGTATGATTTATTACATTGAAATACAGAAACTATGCATTTTGAGGATTATCTTCGTGTCCAAATCCATTTTTAGAATGCCAATGTTTCATGAACATTGCAGTTAACTTCAGGGCGAACTTAGGGCGAACAGCGTGTATTAGTATCAGACTGCTCCTCGCCCTTATTAAGTAAACTGCAATGTTGACATTCTAAAAATGGAATTTGGACACGGAGATAACCCGCGAAACGCAATTTCTGTAGAATAAAATACAATGGAAGTCTCAAGAGGATTCAGTATATTACATTCAGTTACGTTGTGTCATCTGTGTCTTATGTTGGAAAACTTCCAAAGTTTATTACCATAAATCACAATAATAGTTCAAAAATAATGATAAAGTAATCCTGTTTTTGCAATTTATGGCAATCAATATAACAACTTAATATAACAATACATTAACTTAAAAATACATTAACTTATATTAAAAAAATTGAAAACACATGTTTGACTTGTTTAAATGCAATAGTAAGTAGTATACAGAAGTTTAATTCCACAGTTATAACATCAATCATTACTTTTTTATGTGCTGTTCGTAAACTTATTAAATTAGAAGAGATCTCTTTTAAAGAATATCGTACAAAAACAAAATGTGCCATTAAAAATGCCACTCAAAGAATATACATGTCAAAAATTATAAGGCCCAAGCAAAGAAAAAATGTTGAGCGGGTTGAAAAAGAATCTCATCTAATACAAATGTATGAAGCAGCTTAACGATTTTATTACTTTTTTTAAGGGGGTATAACACCTTTTACGGCCAAAATCGACCTCATTTTCAAGATTTTTTTTTTACATACAAAGAAGTGCGCAATTCAAAATCGGGTCTTTGGGCTTTTTTATTTACATATTAAAGACACTGAACATATTTTTTGTTTTTGAAAAATCATCATGGTTTATAAAATAAACGCCGTCAAAAGAGGCCGCTAGCGTCGCGTATGTCTTGCTGGTGTACACGATTGTGGCTGACTGGAGTGACCTAAAGCAAAAATACAAATGGGTAAAAATACAAATGAGTCTTAATCTGTGATAGTTTGGCTAAGGTAGTACCGGTGGATTTTAAAAAATATCAATTTTTGAGAAAATGGCGCGACTTTGAAAAAAAAAATCGAATTTTCGCCTAAAAATCTGACATAAAATCGATTGCCAAAAAAAATCTAGTGATTCTTTTTAAAAAAGGCTAGGTAGTACCATAAAGGCACCCATGCTGAGTATAAAGATATTTGATTTTTGTCGATCGGATAAAAATTGTGGGCGTTGTGATGTACACCAGCTTGAAAAATAGTGTTTTTCAGAAAACTCGTTTTAAGTTTTGATACGAGAAATCTTGCAATTATTAGCTTATTACCTTAATCGGCAATGCCTGGCCCGTACAATTGTCCTTCCAAATTAAGGTCCTCATCATCTTTGGCCTTTTTATTGGATATGTCAAGTCTCCGAGCTGCTTTAGCTTCCGCAGTCATGGCGCGCTCGGCTGCGCGGATCCGCCGTTCATCGGTTTTTATGCAAAAGTTGTAGCAGGTGGTACTGATCGTTAAGTTAAGAACTTGCATAATTTTCAATACACTTTTTAGGCCATCGTTGAAATTGCAAACAGCAATATTTGCAGCAATATCAACGATCGCCTTGCTGCTGTGGACCCCTTTCGGCGCTATAGACCACAGCACAGAGTTGAAGCTCTCGTTGTTATTTTGAGTATACCCGCCAAGACAGCGGGATAATAAATCGTCAGAACTTAATTCTTCGTAGATAGGCTTGACTGCTTTGAAAACTTCATCCTGAAATACTTGACAAACACAAGAGAAAGGCAGCGAACTCGGTGAGCGCCCCGAGGCCCTCTCCCCGCGCTAGAGGTAACACACAAGCATAGCTGTTTTCGACGTAAAAAACTCGAAATAAAGACTCGAAATAAATTCAAGAGCTTAGGCGTTAATGGGATCATATTCTAGACATCTTAAAGTATCATTTAAGCCAATAAAAAATTTTTTTTATTTTTTGAAGCCGCAAAGGTGTTATACCCCCTTAATATGTTAATTTCTTATTTAAGAGATGATCAATTAAATCTTTTTTTATTTTGCATAAGAAATGTATGCTTATATAATTTTTATTATAACTGTAAATTTAAATTACTTTTATGTTTAAACACAAAATTTCATTAGCAGTTTGATCATCACTATGTTTTTTTCTTTAAAAACAAGATATTACCTAATACATAATAGTTTAATTTTTTTAATTTAACTGCAATACCTCGTAATTAACAATTTCTTTTAAAATCGAATTTAATTTTTCTAAGCATCATACATAATTTTTCTTTCTTGGATGTGTATTGTTTGGACATGTACCATTTGAATACGAGCTAATCACAGTACAGCAGAAAAATTCTAGGTATTCGCTGTTGAATAGTTCACTCGCATCCAAACGATACATGTCCGATCGCTTTAATCTCCTTTTCTTTTTGTGAACTTATGAACAAGTTCATAAAAAGAAAGAAAGATTAAAGCTCATGAAGTTTTGAGTTTTGCATAATTATTAATAATTAAATATGAAATAAATACGAAATTGTTAATTAATTGTCAATATGATTATTTAGGTTTATAAAAAGAATCTAATATCTTTGCTTTTAATTCCTATCCTTTTCTTTCACGTAATAGTGAAAAAATAATAGAACTAAATCAGCGATATAACGGCAGTATCTCATAACTAATAATTTATTGAAATACAGATTTTTACTTTTTATATCAATTAGAAAAAACTAGAAATGCTCCAAGAATTTTGATAAAAAAGATTTATGATTGTTTATCAAAATTTTTGAAGCTTTTCTAATTGATACAAAAATCTAAAAATCCGATTTTCAATAAATTGATAGTAATTATATAACAATGAGGTAAATATCAATTTATGCCGTTACATCATCGAAGTAATAAATATCATATTATAACAGGTACCAAGGGGTAGTTTTATTAGTAAGCCTATTGTGCTTCTTATATTGTGATATTATTATCAAGATAAGGTAAAGCAATTCTCACTACGTCTACTCTTTAGGTCTGTTTTTAGGGCCATTGCACACAAAAACTTAAAGCAGTAAGATGTAAGCAGTAAGGAAATCAACATGTTGGATTGACTACTGCTTTAATCCAAGTTATAGCCTTACGGGCTCTACTGTGATTGGTCAATTCGCTTACTGTTTACTATTTAAGTTTTTTTGTATGTCATGGCCCTTATTTCTGCACTGTCAAACTAGTGCAATAAGTTATAATGAAACAAATATATGTTTATTTCAGTTCAACTTATTACACCGTGTGTACTTTCAGACAGTGCAGGAATAAAAAATAGATCCCTTGTGACCTACAGTTACCTAATAGTAGTTGGCTATTGTTGAAGGCTAAAAGTGAATTTGAGTTATTCGACCTAGGAGATGGAAAATGAATTACAATTATTCAATAGTAGTGAGATAGTGAGCTGAGTGTATGAGACTAAAAGCGAAATACAGATTTTCTATAATATATTGTACAAGCTACAAATCTTATTTTCAAAGATGCATAATATCTTATTAACATATCTATTTATGTACATTTTCGACATTAACAAGGACACTTCTAGACTCTCTAGAGTAGAATGCTTTTATATTACTATTAGGATGCTTGAATGTTATCTGACTGAGACTTATGACGACATTACTGATTCAGTCAGTTCGCTCACTACGCTGAGGATACAGTGGAATGCGAAGTTTCTACCTCTCCTACTACATAGCAGCAGATTGCTTCTACTGTATCAGAGCATATACTACTATATCAGAGTATATATTAGGTTGGTGCATATGAAATATCGGATTTTCTTTACATATGAACGTTTGTCTCCCTGTTTTCGTTATGCTTTTGTTTTTGGCATAACCTCGTTTATAATCGTATTGTCCATTGCCAGAGTCATATTTCAACAAAGAAGATTTTTTCAAAAGTGTTCCATTTTGTTATTTGTTTTGAATTTCGTAAGGATATGAATTCAATCGATATTCATGTAATTTTTTTATATGAATATAAACTTGGTAATAATGCTGCAAAAGCTGCACGCAATATAAACCAGGAATTTAGGGAGAATACTGTTAACGATCGAAAAGTGCAGCATTGATTTGAAAAATTTCGGTCTGGTGATTTTTCCCTA